GGTTTATCTCTCCCCTGCCCCCCACCCTCCACTCTCCTTCTCTAAGATTTGTCAGTTTGAACCGTACATCTATGTCTCTGGATCTATTTTGTTCATCAGCTTATTTTGTTTGTTATATTCCACAAATAAGTGAAATCATGTGAAACTTGTCTTTCTCTGACTGGCTTATTTCACTTAGCATAATACTCTCTAGGTCCCTCCATGTCATCTCAAAGGAAAAGAGATTTTTCTTTCTTACTGCTGCATAATATTCCATTGGGTCAGTAATCTTTTTAAACTTCTACATCAGAACCCCTTTGGTTTCACATGTCATAAATGACATAGAATTAAAATTAAAGAGAAAATATGAAGAGGTAGCCACTGGCGATCATATTTTTGTAGTCTCTCTGGTGTGTGACATAATACAATTATGTTCTTACTTCAATCTATAGCTTCAGACGTGTGTGTGTGTGTGTGTGTGTGTCAGTAAAAACACTAGAAAGAATATTTAAATTCAGCATAGAGAATTGAAAATATGATAAAAGACAACTGCCCAAATACTGGAGTGGTAAACTAAGGAGAAATATCAACTGGGAACTTTTTTGAATATGTGAACTCCTTGTTTTTTTAGATTCTGGATGTCAGAACTTCTGTTTCTTTGAAGTGCATCCATACAAGAGTTCGATGTGGAACTGTCGGAGGCTGTCTTAGAAAGTAGAGGCCAGAGAGTAGAATTAAACCAGGGCTTAATTCTGAACACAGTAAGGTATAAGCCATTGCGGTGGAAGGAACAGTGGCAAATACGTGGTGCTGGTTTATGAGGTACATGGCCGAATACCTCCTATTTCCAATTGCTTAATGAACAAACAATTGTGTTCACTTTAATGTGTACTAGACTATGATTTCTGTACACTATTTAACCATATAAATAAGTATATTATTTAACTATACAAATCACGATATCATGTATATTATTGCTTACAATAGAAGTGACAGTAGGTTTCCTTAAAATTATTCAAGTAAAGGAATTAAGTCAGTTGGATGGAAAGATATTCAGTAGAAATGTGTGGTGGCACAAATATGGCAAACGTTGTGAAAGAGGTTTATGAATGACTGAGGTTCGAGAAATACTAGTTAAAGAACCGGGTAGTTTCCACTTGCTATCTGTTATTATCTTAGGGATGAAAATGTCAAGGAAGTAGAGTTACATATGTTACACGTTTTCAAAGTGCATGAGATGAATCTATCCTGAGCATCATCAACCCGTGTTCCTGTGCTAAATCAACCATTCTGTTTTGGACTGTGGGGAGAAACTATGTTTGTGACTCCAGGAGGTGTGTAATGTGTCTGGGGTACTGTCTGCAGTGAACAGGCTTTCACAACAGCACTATGCAAGCAGAAATGGAAAACAGTCAACTCGATACGATCGAACTAGGTCCAGTGGCGTGGATGGCTTCACCGAGCCTGCAGTGAGCTGGTTGCCCATTCATTGTGCTGTCATCAAGCGACCTAACAGCTCTTTTTTGCTGAGCTAACTGCAACATCTCACACCAGATTTATTGGCCTGGCAAAGTTGCAAATTTTATTACGCAAAAGTTGAGAATGAGCAAAGCTGAAGAGTGCTAAAAACAGCATACTTTGCTACTGTGTAGTATCTGTGTTTGTGGCTCAGAGTGTTTTATTTTTAGCTATCTATTAATACATAGCAAGAGATACAGAAAGAAACATAAAAATAACTTTATCAAATAGTTTCTAGAATTCAAGTGTAACAGCAAAAGAAGAACAATAATAGCAAATTGTTCTGTTGGGGGGGAAGACATCTTTTTTGCCTCTTCTCTCCCTTCCCTTCCCTCTCCCAGGAGGACTGGCTACAAAGAGCCCTTCCCTTCCTAGATCTTGGAGGGGTGGGGGTGTGGAGGGAGGTGGCATCTCCATGTTTATTTCTTTGTCCAGTTCTTTTAACCTCCTCCTCTCCTACCTCCCTCTCTAGCAATGCTTCAAGTGAAGGAGAGGTGGGAACATTTAGCTTGTAAAACTGGTTTGTTAGGGTTCTTTCTCCCTCCCTCTCTTGTTTCTTGGGAAACTTACTGGCTGGGCAGCTGCCTGGCAGTGCCCTAGCTGCTTCTCCGGGCTGGAAAGGGGCTTCCTCTTCCTTCCACAGAAGGAAAAGCAGCTGCTGCGAGAGGTGCAGATGGGAGGAGGACAGAGAAGGCAGATACCACCACTCCCCCATGATACACAAAGAGAGAGATGGGAATGCACAGACGTACACCCCTTATGCATGTTGGACACTCAGGATTCAAAGAGATGGGCCAGGATTGTACTTGGAACGATGGGACCCTCCCCGTTTGGAAACCCTGTGGATTTACTTTAGCAGAGCCTTAGAAGGCCCGGGGTGAGGGGTGTGGGGCAGACCACTGCCACCCACTTTTTGCTTTTATAATCAAAATACATTCACAGGATTTCACAGATAGGAGACCAGAGGAGGGAGGCAGAAGAAAGGCATGCAGGTAGTTTCATTTTGCTTCGTTTCTCCACCCGATTGTGGTGCTCTTGCCCTGCAAGGGCAGCCTTTGCAATGTGGGGGTGGCTGCGGAGAGACGGGGCTCCCTCCCTGGGCTTCCCTCCCGGCTTGCTCAGGCTGGACCCGGAGAGACTGGGAAGGGTGAGGGCGGTCATTTCTGGGGAGGAGCTTAGGACAGGTTGGTCCTGATTGTGATCAGTGTTTAGTCAAAGTTACCAGGAGGTTAAAGAAAGGGTATGGGGACCCCTGCCAAGACACATTTCCCATGTCTCTTTTCCCTTGTGGGGCAAGCTTGGATCCCATGAATGTGACATCCGCTACCCTCTGCTGTCCCTGTGGTCTGTGCTGGGAGGAGGCTGGGACACACTGGCCAGAGCTGAGAGGGACAGAGCTGCCTTCCTGCTTGGCAGCACCCAGGCCTAGGGCAGCGGTGCCCTCCTTAGCCTGCAGGGCTGGGCTGAGGTAAGCAGAGGGAGAAAGCTGAGGGCCCAGGCAGAGGCCCCTGGGGAGCGGGTGGAGGCCTCTCTGGATGCGGGTGTGGGAGGGAGGGTTCCTGCCTCTTCCCCATCTCCAGCTCTTGATGGGTGGCTCTTTCAGTGGACAGACCTTATTATGGAACTGACACTGTTACTGTGACTGTCTTTCCAGCCGTGGTGACTTCCAGGGAGATTCAGGGGACCCAAGTGTGCTTAGGTCCACAGTTTTGGTGTTGGGATGAAATCTTTTTATTCTAGAGGTGAAGGGCTAGCAGGGAGAAGGAGGAGGAACAGTTCTTGGGCTCTTCTCGAGTACTGGAAATGGGTTCACATTGGAATTCTCCCCACTCCCCCTCCACAGGCGAGGACACTGGAGTAAACCCAGAAGAGGACATGGAGGAGGCACGCATGCTTTTCCTGTGCAGAGAAGATGCGCTAAGTCCACCGGGGGCCTCAGCAGCCACAGGGCGACGTGCCGGGAAATTCCGGGTCCCTCAGTTCTGTCACTTGGAAGATGAGGCTAATTGGAAATGCCAATGTCTTATGTTTATGTTATGATTTATACGTTACAGCATGTTGTCACCTCTTCAGTAACTGCCCTGTGGGTACCTCAGGGGGGTATTTCAAGGTTAAATAGACAGGAAATTGCTTTGAAAATGTAAACACATTATTAAACTCGAGGCATTATCTGATCCCCTTATTCAGCATCCCATTTCCTCCTTCCCAACACCACCCTGCTTGCATCCTTACCGAGCCCCATACAAGGCCAAGGGAAAATCCCAGAGAAAATGCTCCTATGTCGGGAGTAAATGGCATGTTCTGAGGGGCATCTCCCTTTCTTAGGTGAGGCTCCAGCCTTTGCCCTGCCTCAGCTCCCAAGTCAGGTGGCGTTTCCTTAGGTTATTTGGAAGCCGAGGCTTTTAGTTTTTGTCCTCCTAAAACATCAGCCCCGGTAGCTCTTCGTCTCCCCCTGGCGTTCCTGCTGCGCTATTTCCTAAGACTGGCGGTCGGGTCAGGAGAAGAAGGGTGGGCACAGAAAAAACCTTGTAGGGGCTTCTCATCAGTACTACTGAAATAATTGGGTGGGTGCCTGAAAGGGCTCTAATTAAAAAAGAAAAAAGAAAAAAAACTCTTTCTTTGCCATGACCTTTTTCACCTCGGACGCAAAGAACTGCAGCAAAAAAGACTTAAGGGAGGCGCTTGAAGGAAGAGAAAAAAGTTCCATGATCTCCAAAATAATTTGACCCCCAGTAGGGGGGAGTGACGAGGGAGAGCGGTCTCTTGTTTGATCAACACGAAGAAATAGGAGGGACATAAAAGGAAAATGAAGCGAACAACAATTACAAAAAAAAAAATTCCCCGCACACAATACAATCTATTTAAATGTAGCTCATACTTTTCATACCAATGGTATGACTTTTCTGGAGTCCCGCTTGTGATTCTTGAACTCTGGGGCTGGCAACTTGCAAAGGGGAAGCAGACTCCAGCGCCGCACGGGCAGGTTTACCAAAGGTCTCCAATGGGTATTTTCTTTTTCTTAGCCCTGCCCCTGAATTGTCAGACGGCGGGCGTCTGCCTCTGAAGTCAGCAGTGATTTCCTTTAGAGCCTGGCCTTATCTCGGGCTGCACGTTGCCTGTTGGTGACTAATAACACAATAACATTGTCTGGGGCTGGAATAAAGTTGGAGCTGTTTACCCCCACTCTATAGGAGTTCAATATAAAAAGGCGGCGGAGAGCTGTCCAAGTCAGACGCGCTCCCGCATCTGAGCTGGGGCGAGCGCTGCGAGGGTCCTGGGCTCCGCTGCTGTCCCTGCGCCGCCGCCGCGCGCCTCCAGCCCGCTCCCGCGCCGTCTCTCCTGCAGGAACGCCTTTCTCCGCACTACAGAGCGCTGAGGCTGGCGGATCACTTTGAGAACAGAGTAACCAGAAGCGCTTGAAGGGAACTGAAGCTGTTTTTCTTCGTTTTTCCCTTTTGAGTTTAGTTTGCAGGGGAGGAATTCTGAGCCCTTTTTTTTCCAGAATGGATTATTTCCCCGTGATTTTCTCTCTGCTGTTTGTGGCTTTCCAAGGAGTTCCAGAAACAGGTAGGCACGCTGGCTTGTGAAGCTTTGAATGTTAATGTCTTCCCGTCCACCTTAATGCTTTTCTTGCTTCTGTTTTTCTCCTTTTTTTTTTTTTTTATTACTGCAGCTCAGATATCAAGTTCTCTGGGAATTATTACTCAAGGCTACTTAAGTTTTCCAGTGGGGAAAAAAATTCCACTGTTGAATACAATTGCTCCTGTAGCATTAAAATAACATTATTAATATTGCATAGCATGTTTCCTTGGCTTTTAACAATGTAACTCAAGAAATGTAAAGACAAGATATAATTTAGCCAAATGTATAATTAATTGCAATATATGTGTTCCTACAGGTAATAGGACACTTAGGGATGGATATCTTATTCAGATACTGTTTTATTAGTGTGTTAATGTGAAAAATATTTAAACATTTCAGCTTGAAGCCAAGGAATTTTATTCAAGTCATTCAAGCAATATTTGAGCAGTAAAATCACCTGCAGAACAGTCTGTTGAATAACCCCCGCCAGGCAGTTTCAGGGCGAAGCAGATGTTTTCTTTAAAATTTGTCATTATTGACTTTAGGTTTCTTTTGGCAGATTTTTGGCACTCAAAACAGTGTGCGCTCTATTTTCAGTTTTATTCACCTGTCCTGGGAGGGAGCCCAGATAAATCTTGGCTGCTAAGGATTTAGATAGACGCGTGCATCTGCCCAGTCTCCCCTTCTAGGGTCAATGAACTTTTTTTGTCTTTTCATGACCCTGACTAAAGAGAAAGGATGTCAAGGGAATGAAAATCTTGGAATGTGTCTGATCATGTGAAATGTACAAAATTGGGCAGATAAGCTGCACGGCTAACTCGTCAGGAAGAAGAGGGGGTGCTGCAGCGGGAGGGGGAGGTGGCGATCCCACACATGCCCGGCAGCCCTGGGGATTCTGCATTCAACATGCCCAGGACCTTGACCAGGTCCCCTAAGCTGCGGCTCAGCTTCACCTTAGGTCAGTGGTTTCTGTGGAGTTGACCGCCTGGAATGAGTATTGAAGAGCTGATTTGTCTTCTTTTCCTCCAGTCATCTCCCCAAATCTCTTGACCTCCATCTAATTTCAAGGGATACATATCATCTGGGCCACTCCCAGCCCTACACGCTGTGAAGTGGTGGGTACTCCCCTAAGCAGGTCATTCTGCAAGGGGCAGTGCCTCAGACCTAGGAAGAGGCAGTGTGATTACTGACTTCTAGACCGTTGGTCATCGCTTTCCAGCCACAGTAGGCTGTCCTACTAAGTGCCATGCAGAAGTCAACCCCGAGTCTAACAGGCAGCATTTCCACCCGTTTCCTTGAAGGTTGCTTCAGAGGGGCTGGTACGTCCCTCTGCAGGTGGTTGTTTCTTCTGCACTTGTGTAATCTCTCTGAAGGTTGATAAGGCAGCTGGGTAAAGGTGAAGTCATGTTAAGGAGGCAAAAAATAAAAGAGCCCTTTCCCTCTGTACTTCTGGCTGAAGGCAGACTGCAGGCTTGTCTGCTCTGGTCGGCTCTGCTGGACCGGGCATCAGTCCTTGGGTGCAGCGCGCCTCTGCCTCTGGCCTCCGACGGGCATCCCCACTGACCTGCTCTTTCTCTCCCCAGCGGTCCTGGGCGCCGAGCTCAGCACGCAGGAGGACGGCGGAGGAGAGAAGCCCGCTCCCAGTGCACCCCGCCGCCCCAAGCGCTGCTCCTGCTCGTCCTTGAGAGACAAAGAGTGTGTCTACTTCTGCCACCTTGACATCATCTGGATCAACACTCCCCGGTGAGTCTCTAGAGGGCATTGTAACTCTAGCCATTCCATAGTTCAGCCTCGCCGGAGACTGGAGCCAGGCCACTCTAGGGACTTTTCTGGGAAGCTCCTGGTTGGGATTCTGACAACATGGAAGTGCCCTGGTGGGTGGGGACAGCGCCCTCCATTCCTGCAAAGAACAAGACAGCGAGGTGCTCTGAGGCCTGTGGCTCAGACTACTCATTGCAGGATAGCTGGAAAGAGCTGATGGCAGACAGGCAGCTGCCCTACAATTCTTCTGAGAAACTTAAGTGTGGGGCCTTGGGGGAAAGTTCTCGCAGGGATCTGCCTGGGTTGAGGGAATAAGCTGCCCAGGTCATGTGGCTTCTCATGGGAGGGTAGAGACGTAAGAGGCAGAAGCGATCATAGAGATTCATAATCCGATCCCTTCATTTTACTTATGGGGCAACTGAGGCCCGAAAGGTTCAGTCACTTGAGCAGGCGAGCGTTAGGCAGTGCTAGACTTAGAGCCTGGGTGTCCGCCTCCTCTGCGCTTCCCTTTAGAAAAGCCCACTTCACACAGGAATAGAAACACGGTCCACAGATTTCTCTTCTGCCTCCGGAGAGAAGGCACTTTGCCTGCTTTCACCCTGAAACCCAGTTCACGTCAGAAGCAGGTCGTAAACAAAATCGCGGTCTGGTGAGGGATGACCCAAATCCAAACACAGTCACATCAAACTAAACAAAAACTCCACAAGCCTAAGACTTAGCAGGGTGAGTCTTCCAAGGGGAAGACTTTATTTCTTAAGTGAGAAGCAAACCGAATGCATTAGAAATTACTGGACAGCTTCTGGTAGGAAGCCCTCCTACGGTCACAACACCAAACTGGGCGTAGTATGTGTCCTCCCGCCCCCGGGGGTACTTCTAGCATCATCATATGACTTGGATTGAAGAAAGGTTTTCCAAATCTTGTGAGTCATGGTTTTGCAGTCCTTATTTCCCAACCCCCATCCTGCACTCATATCTGTGAACAAAATAGAATATCAGAAAAAGATGAAAATATGAAACAGATACCCAAGCAGAGATGTCATCATTTCGGACAAAAAAAAAAAAATAATGCTGCTAGTGTCGAGAAGAAATGGAACTTTGTTGAGAACTGAGGTGGAGTTTAACTGAATGAGCAGAACTAGTTCCTCCTGGTTGGGTTGACACGCTCAGGGCACTGACGGACGCTATGCTGGCACATGGCGTGTGGTGAGCTCGTGCGTCCTGGTGAAGGAGTGTACCCCACAGAATGCAGCGTTTTGAGGACTATGACTCATGCTAATAGCTTCTGTTTCTCTCTTTTGATAATAGGAATCTTGTTCCATATGGACTTGGAAGCCCTCTTAGGCCCAAGCGGTCCCTCAAGGATTTATTTCCTACAAAAGCAACAGACCAGAAGAACAGATGCCAGTGTGCCAACCAAAAAGACAAGAAGTGCTGGAATTTTTGCCAAGCAGGAAAAGAACTCAGGTGCATAGAAATACCTTTGCTTTCAAACAGTTTTATGTTCTCCTGACCTCCTTCCTATTATAGTGCTGCAAATACGAGGCACACACTTCCAGTAGTGAAATAAGTAAGCCCCAGGGAGGTCGTGAACAGGACAGAAAACAGTGCCAACACTATCGTAATAACTTCGCACAGTGCCAGGCGGGTACTGGGCTTACCGTGGTGACCGCATCTTAAAGTCTATAAATGTCATCTATGTTGTACACCTGAAACTAGTATAATACTGAGTGCCAGCTATACTTCAATAAGATTTTTTTTTTTAAGAAAAAGAGAGACTACCAGAGACATTGAGAACAACTAAAGGTGCCATTGCTGAAATGTTTTTTCCTGTGTGTATTTTAACAGGGACCAAGACACTATGGAGAAAGGTTGGAATGAGCATAAGAAAGAAAAGGACTGTTCCAAGCTTGGAAAGGAGTGTGTTTATCAGCAGCTGGTGGAAGGGAGAAAAATGAGGAGGTAAGGGGCTCCGAGGACAGCTAGCCCTCGCCACCAGTGCTAAGGGGCTGCTCCCCGCCATTCTTGCCGGGGCGGGAGAAAGGCTCAGGAGACAACAGCAGAAGGGATCTTCATATTCTATACATTACAAAGAGCAAAGGAATTCCTCTCACATATTTTTTTCAAGGCTTTGAATGCAGACTGCTGCCCACTTGGGTGATCTTTCGCACACACCCCTCAGTCTGAAGGTCGATTTTCCCAAACAGATCTCTCCCCTGACACCTCCGACATTTGGTCAGATCCAGTCTCTGCCTCTCTGAGTCAGTAGAGTTACCGTTTTCCCTGAGAACCTAAACATCACTCCAGGGAGACGTCCTTTTTTTTTTTTTTTTTTTTTTTTTTTTTTAAATCAAGGTGTCATGTATGATCAAGTTCTTCAAAGAGCAGCAGTTATTCAAATGGCCAAAGGGAAAATAAAGTCATTAGGTAAGGTTGGTGAGAGTTAGAACATGCCGTTTTCCAGGTTTATTTATTTGTTTTTAATAAGGGAATGAATGCATTTGGTGGAGAGCCAACGCCATTCCAAAAAGCTCGCTCGCTCTCCTGTTAGTCATGAGCTGGGGCCGAGAGGGAGCGCAGTTAGGCAATACCAGAGGCCGCTTTGAGCTGCCCCACCGAGAGAGCCCTTCCAAACCCTAAACACTGTGGAATTCACAACCCGGAGGGAGGAACCCTGCTTGCGGACCTTGCTCACATGCCCTTCATTTCCCTCTCATGGTCTGCGGCAACTTTTCCTGGAAATCCAGTGGCAAGAAGTTCTACGACCCAAGTGTTCTGTGCACGGGCCTGGCTGAGTTGTTTACTCCGCCGCGTAGGGCGTCCTCCGCTGTCTGTGACTCTGCACCTGCTGACACAGTTCCCAGAGCTGTCGTCGCAAGCCACGCATGCTCCCCAGACCCCGAGATTACATGAACCACAGTTTCTGCACTGACTCGGAAATCATTTTTTGTCAGTTTCTCTTATATAAACGGTTAAATCAGTGTCTCAGCTCATCCTTCTTCCTTTTTCTCCTGCCACCAAACAAACAAAAAACAACAAAAAAAATATTAAACTTCCCCAAAAAAGTTTGGTTTAATTGTCATAGAACGTTTGTTTTCGGTCTATGTGTACACCTTTCTTTTTATTTTTTTCTTAAGGGTGGGTGGGATGGGGCTAGAAAAGAAGGAGAGAGAGAATAGCTCAATTTAACCTTAAAACTATACTTTAAAATGGTATTTAATGCCCCATTCCCTTCAGATACACACATAGCACTTTTCCTGTCTGCCCGCTTCCCCATTAGGCTTTATTTACAGAGGTTAGCGACCAGTAGCAGGCTGTTGTGGTTGGTGGTGAAAGTTCCAAAACCAGAATTAAATTAGTTTGGGCCAGATTTGAATTTTAGATATTTCTTTTGCCCACGAATACTTTTTATTTTTTTTAATTAACATTTGTTTTCTCTTGTCTTGTTTTCATAGGTTGGAGGCCATCAGAAACAGCATCAAAACATCTTTCCATCTTGCAAAGCTGAAAGCCAAGCTCTCCAGAGAGAAGAAAGTGACCCACAACCGGGCACAGTGATTACAAATCACCGTGTGAAGCCTCCTCCTCCACACCGCGCCTGCTGTGCAGCGGGCTCGCATGCTCCCCACACTGGCCTGCATCAGAACAAAAGCATCCTTCCTGCTCAGATCACTTCTTGCTCCAGAGTGGCAAAGGACCAGCGTCCTCCTAAACATACTAAGAATGGCTAAGGACTCCCCAAACTGTCTTCATTTGCTTCCACCAGTGGTAACTGCTCTTGTCTCTCGTCTTTGAGGAGACAGTGGACCACTCTGAGACACAATGAGCGGCACATTATGGTGGCCTCCTCCACGGGGAGGAGAGGAGACTCCACGTGTGGGTGGGCTCCTGAAGAGGGTCCGAAGGGAGTGTTTGTGTCTCACTCAGGCACCTGGCACATTTCAGGGAGAAAATGCAAAGTCCCTGAAGAGATCTCCTAAGAAATGCACAAATTGGAAACACACTCGCGTTAAAAGAAAAAAAAAAAAAGGACTGATTTTTAATTCACAAAATGCAAAATTGAAAGAAACTGTTACTACTGTAGATCAGGATGTGTTTCATAAATATGAGTCTACCTCACCTGTATTGCACTCTGGCAGAAGTATTTCTCCACCTTTAATTATTGCCTCCCAAATGCTTTCCTTCCTGCCAACTCCTCCCCTGAAACCTCCACACTAAATCCTAGCCTCAGAGAAGTCTGGTCTGACGTGTCAGTGGTAGATACAACATTTTCACAGTAATCTACTAGCTCCGATCTGTAAGAAAAAACATCATTGAATCAGAGGATTCCCTTACCTTGATTTTTGGAAACACAGTGGTATAGGGTTGTTTATGAAAGACACCAGAGAGTAAACGTTGGTTATGTTTTAAAACAGTAAAATTATGTTCCTTTATGTAACTGGCAAATGGAAGAGATTGGACTAAATTTTGATGTACTTATTTTTTTATAGATATTTATATTCAATTTATTCCTTATATTTACCATGTTAAATATATGTCTGGGCAGGCCATATTGGTCTATGTAACTTTTAAAAATGTATTTCTGAATGAAATTGAGAAATTGCTTTGTTTTGCCTGTCAAGGTAATGATTTTAGAAAATAAATATTGTTTTTTTCCCCTACAGTACTGATTTTGAATCATTTCTGAAATTCCTTAGAAGTAGGCCAAAGTGGTAAGAATTATTAAGCGAAAGGATTAAAAATGGTTTCTTAGAAAGGTGATCATTAGAAGGAAAATAGTCTTAGCTATTTTAAAAAAAGAACTTGATCTGGATCTTGAAAGTCGCCCTTGGATGGCATCAAAGTAAAAACAAAACAAAACAAAACCCAGCTTTAACCCCCGTCTTTCCCGAGCCGCAGCCTTCCGGTCCCCCTCACCTGAAGACTCTCCAGGGACTTCATTCATTAGCTTTGCTCAGGCTGTTAGACAGGCTCCAGCCGTTGAAGCGGATGGTGTGGTGAGAGGTGCTGTCTCCATGAAGGGACTGAAGGAAGCAACGGCGAGGCGACCTCCCAGAATGTGCCCACTTACACAGTTTCACAACTTCCAGAAAATGGTCTGCTCAGAGCTAGTGAGGAGCCCCCAGTGGCTTTATTTGCTCAGATTAAGGATTTTGTTTATTTGGGAACACTGAGTACCTTTGCGTCTTCAGGTAGCCCAGGACTGGACACACGCCTGTGGGGGCAGAGATGCCACAGGCTCATGCGCGGTCTCCTGCAGCCCAGGGCCGCCGTCCTCTCCATGGGCCCGGGCTGGTCTTGCCAGACCACTGGAGGCCGCGAGATCGTAAGTGCTTCTTCCCAACAGAAGCCCATAAGAGCTCGACCAGCTTACGGGAACCTTCACCACCCTTCTAAATAGTGTCTGAAAGAATGTCTGGCATTCAACAAATATTAGCTCAGAGTGATCACCATTGTCCAAACAGTGACGCATCCGAAGGGTATTAAATAACAGCCTTCAGGTGTTCTTCGTCAGTGTCCTGAGCGCGGTCGGTCCTCACTGGCATTGTTTTCCATTTTTCTGTTGTTGTTGCTTTTGTTAATCCTCACATGAGGATATTTTTCCACTGATTTTTTAGAGAGATTGGAAGGGACAGAGGGAGAGAAAGAGAGACAGAAACACCGATGTGAGAGAGATGCATGGATTGGCTGCCTCCCAAACACAACCTGGACCAGGGCCAGGGACAAACCTGCAACTCAGGTACATGCCCTTGACCAGAATTGAACCCTTGACCCTTTGGTCCTTGGACCGAATGCTCTATCTGCTGAGCCAAACTTGCCAGGACCCCTTTTTTTTTGAAAGGGACACTTCAGTGTCTTTGGGGAATTGCTTATAAAGCTCGATGTATCTAGCAAATTGTTCCTTAGTGTGCAATTCTCAAGAAAACTGTGAAAACGTGTGCATATTGACCAAGGCCTTGGCCTGGACTTAGCCACTATTTCATCCTCAGCAACCATCCAGCTCCCCTGCAGTTTGAGTTTCCTCATCTGTTAAAGGGGGCGGGGGTGGGGGGACTCCTCACACAGCTTCAAGAAAGGCTGAACCCAAGAGGTCGTGTTGGCACAGGAAAGTGAAGGTCCGAGCTTAGAGGATATGGTGTAATATGTTTAAGAGACAGAGGAGATGGAAAAAAAAAAACCACTCAGGAAAGAACAACACAGCAAGCTAAGGTGATAAAATTTTCTTCCTCTTTTCTGTAAAAAAAATTATTTGGACTTTTACATTCTCTTCCCCCATGCTTCCTGCTTGATTAACTGGCAAGAAAAGTAAAAAGCATGAAGCCATTCTCCTAGGGCACGAGGGTCAGTAGTAAAATAAGTGGAAAGGTTCATAGACAATGAATAGTTTTCGAGTATGTAGAGGTAAGATTCGATATTATTCAAGGCTCATGCCAGTTTGAGGGGTGAGCTGATGGGACAGTCTGTCATCCTTCCTGCAATATTTAAAAAAAAGTGTGATTTTTGGAGGCCAGTTTAGGACAGATTTCTCTCTTCACACTAACAGCCGGCAGAGCTTTGATCTCGGGCTCCAAAGACTAGAGGATTCTGGGTGGAGAGTGGTGACCTTTGGTGGGAGAAGAGCCCACTAATGGATACTTCATTCCCCCCCAGGGGGAATCCATATTCTTTTGTGATGAAAACTATTGGCTTTAATCCTGCTTGTGCTTCCTGTAATAGTCAGGGTATTATACACTAAGCAGAGTTCTCGGCACTCAGGGTATTGTACTCAGCTAGAGCTCCGTGAGGAAGGCCCTTGGTGACGTTAACAGAGAGAAACCTTTTGTCTTTCCAGGTAAAAAAGCAAAAGCCCATGGAGGGAAGTGACCTACCTAAGATTACCCAGCAAGCTGTAGCATCTCTGGAACCTGAACCCTCGAACCCAGAGGTTCCACCCAGAGGCACCTGGAAGTGGAAACAGACACCCAAGCAAACCTTAATAGGATAGTAAAGGCACTGATTTCCAGCCTCACAGATCATGGCTGGCAGACCCATCCTCACAGGATGAAAGAGGAGAAATGTCAGGGAAGCAAACAGGGGTGTAAGGAGGTGTACAAATCTCATGGCATCGTGAAGCGAATTTCTCTAGGATGAAGTAACTATAGCTAGGAACTTTTAATTATCATTGTATTAGGGGTTAATTATCAAATAACCCTTAAATAATGTGAGTAGAGGGTATTCTCTTGGTCAGTTCACTTACTCTATAGAGCAAGGCAGTATGTTTTTAATTCTGTCTAAAGTCTTGAAAATGCTTATTTTCAAGCCCAAGTCCTCAGTGAGTAAAACATTGTTTTCAAGCCCATGGGGTTCTTTCCATCTTGGCTTTCTCTCACCTGTGTACTCACAGTTCCTGGAGTCCTGGATCTGGGCTCAGAATATATCTATTGCAAGTGAATGCTGCTGTTCTCACAACCTTATGATCTAACAATGACTCCTTATCTTTGCAGGGAACTGGATTTCCTATCACCTTTCCACATCCCTTCTCCGATCTGAGCCCCTCCCCCAACAATCTTTTTGGGATGTTGGAGCCACATTTTTATACCCATTGCGGCCAAGGAAACAGACATACTGAATGAATGACTTATCCAGACTCCTCCATCAGGCAAATAACAATACTTGGGACCCTGATCCTTTCTCCTTAAGTTTCTCCAGATCAGAGACGGTATCACTGGCCCCAAAGCTAGAGTGTTCTGCTAAAACTTAGGAGGGTAATTAATGTAATGATATTGTAAATCTTAAAGCAACTCAATAATAGCAAATGGAGAAAAACTCTCTTAGTTTCAAGTGGCATTGAAATTTTGGGACATGCCTTTAAAAATACAGGGAAAGCAATTCTAACAAGATTTTAACTAAATTTATAAAAATAAATTAATAAATTAAATAAAATAAAATAATTCCACTGTAAGTTTCTTTACTTACACAAATGTAAAATTATTTTGTAGCTCAAATGCTCTGCTAATTTCTTATCTGCCACATGGGCACAAATGTGCTTTCACCATGTCAAGAATTCTCATTGACATATGGGTAGAGATAACTTAACCACCTGTCAAGTTATATATCTTCAGGAACCTGCTAAGATACCGGTCACTCTACTATGGACATTGCTCACTGGTTTGCTCTCCCACAACTGGTTCACTGTGCTCTGATCAATGGCCATAGGCGGTGTCCCTCAGTTTGGTGAAAGACAAAATGCATAGGACAATTAGGAAGATGATTTTATTCAGGATATTACAATAAAGAAAATGTTCATTAATGAAGAATATTTCAAGCAAAGGAAGGGAGCCTGGGATTTTACAGATTCAGGTAGACAAGAAGTTGTCTATGAGTGTTATGGGAGTCATGAAGAAGAATATAGATGGTCTTCTCTTGGTTGTTGAGAAAGGATGGATGGGGATTAAGTGAGAACAGGGTGGTCTTTTGGGGTTAGCCATTTCTTAGAACACAAAAGGGAAAGGGAAATTTTTGACCCTTGCTTTTGGGGAACACAGGGCTCAGATCAAGTTCAATATTGTGTGTTCCACCTTTTTTTTTCAAGATGAATATCATTCATCACTGGACAACTTAGCAGTAATCATAAACCTTCTGAGTGGGGTGAATTCAAATTTCAGAAACAATTTCTAAAGGAATCTATCTTCTGCAAAACCATTTGAACCAATGGTAAAGCCCTAAATTGAAAAAGAGAAGTATTACTATAAAAGTTTGTATTAAAGAGTCAGGAAAGCCTGGCCAGTGTGGTTCAGTGGTTGAGCATCAACCCATGCACTAAAAGGTCGCCAGTTCGATTCCTGGTCAGGGCACATGCCCAGGTTGTGGGCCCGATCCCCAGTGGGGTGCATGCAGAAGGTGGCCAATCAATGTTCTCTCTCATCCATGTTTCTATCTTTCTCTCCCTCTCTCTTCCTCTCTCTCTAAAAATTAATAAAGAAAAAAAAAAAAAGAGTCAGGAAAGATTGAAAATTTGATAAGGATCGACACTTTGGGAAGGTAACAGGAGCCAGTCCAAATTACAGATAAGTACCCAAACTGATTTTTCCACAGTTGTGGAGCAAGTCAATTAAATAACTACCAGACAAGATAGAGTTTGCATATGCATCAGCTATCCACAATTTAAAAAGATACTTAAAATAGCTCAAAGACAATGAGCAGGGCTAGAATCTGACAACCTGGAACAATGTGCTATATGATGTTATAGTTGTCCATTGAAACACCAAATGTCACTTTACACTCATCCTGCTTTTGATAAAAAGAATCTCAAAGAAAGTACTCTTGATGCTAAAATAAGGCCATTTTAATTAAATTTGACATAGTTATTTAGATAGGTATAGTAGTAGGAATGGTAATTTACCATAGACCATTTTAAGTTTGCTTTCTGAAAATTTTCATAAGAAATTTCAGATTGAATGTTTTAAAATTTCT